CTTTTGTGTAGTTTTTTTCATATTAGAGAAACTGGCTCTTTGTCTCTGGTATTAGCTGTGTGCTTTATGTGAGTATAATATACATATGCCTGGTGCCCTAGGAAGCCAGTGAGAACATTGGATTCCCTGGAACTGGAGTTAGAGATACTGTGAGCTGCCATATGAGTATTGGAACTTGAACCCTGGTCCTTGACAAAGGCAGCAGGTGCTCTTTGCAAATCAGCCATTTCTTTATTCCCGCAGTTTATCATAACATAATGTTGTATATAATAGTAGTTTTCAGTTTTTATTAACAATTAACTTCTGAAATTAACACTTCAAATACACTGAACAATCTACTTAGCTTACACTACATCCTATCAAAGAAGCTCTTAGATAATGGTAGGAAACCTTTTATTACCTCATCCTGGGGAATGATAATTTGAACAAGACCGTGGCAATCTCTTAGGACTAAGAAGGTGTTTTGCCTGAATAATGGAAAGAGAAAGAATATTTTAGGATAAAGTCTCTCAACTCAAGATTTAAAGACAAAACCAGTAATAAAAATTCCATGTAGTTTCCTCATTTTTATAATTATGTGCTTTAATAAGCTATATTTATGTAACTATCTTATGACTTTTTTTTCTTTTTGAGGAAGGCCTTGTTGCCCAGGCTATCCATGAACTTGAGACATCGTCCTGCCTCAGCTAAGATTATAGGCATGGACTACCATACCTGGCCAAATTGTCTTTTTTCAACTTGAATTTTGATTAATTATTTATATAGTTACTAAATTGCTATATGTATGTGGTTTATCCATGACAAAGGAAATTTAATTTTTTTTTTTGAGACAAGGTCTCACCGCTTAGCTGTGGCTGGCCTGGAATTCATGCCACAAACTCTCAGAGATCTGTTTGTCACAGCCTCTCCAGTGTTCAATTAAAAGCATGCACCACCACTCCTGGTTAGAGTCTAAGTTTTCAAGTGTGGATGCTGCCAGCATCTCTTCTGAAGTGTCAGGGGAGCATGCAAGCACTTGTGTGCACGAAATTCCTCACAGAGACTCTCAGACCAGTGCACCAGGTTCTTAAGGCACCATGAGGAGTATGCAAGAAAGCAGAGGTTTCTGTTGAACTAGAAGTTGGGAATCATGGCAAAGAAAAGCATGAAAACTACTTTTAAAGATTCATCTTAATCTCAATTGTGTGTTTGTGTGTGGGTATGTGCGTGTGAATGCAGGTTCCTGGATGGCTAATGGCATCAAATTCCCCTAAAGCTGGAGTCCAGACAGTTGTGAGCATGATGGAAGTGCTAGGAAACCAACTATGGGTCCTCTGCAAATGCAGAATTCAACCTTAACTTCTGAACCACCTCTCTAGCCCCTGAAAATGATTCTTCATCTTATCTGTCACATTGAAAATGGACTTCTTATATAAGGGGATTGAGGACTATAGATTTTGTCAACTATGGCTGTGAAGATAGTCATGAGATTTGATGGGTTTTGGAGAAGAGTTTTTTATTTCTCCCTGATGCCTTTCTTCTTACTTGTAGAAGACGATAAACCATCTTTCTCATTTGTGCTAGTATCTTACAAGAACTCAATGTGCTAAAATCAAATAAATCTTGGGAGTATTGTTGTGACACAGGGTCTGGAATCTTCTGGAATCTTCTTTAACTATACCCTGTGTACAAACAATGATGTACTCAGATGATGCTTTAGGGCTGCCTGACTTCTTCATCAGGCACACTGTACTGTGGTCACTGTTCTTGAAAGTAGTTGACTATAAGTCTTTTCTCTGAGAGAGCTAATGGTCCAAGAAGGAATCTGGGCACATCAGTTTTACTCAAATTGGGAGTATGGTTTTATTTTTCATAATAACTAACAGTTTAATTGCTGGTTACCGGATATGGTGGCACATGTCTTTAATCCCAGCACTCAGGAGGCAGAGGTAGGTTTATTTCTGTGGATTCCAGGCTAGCCAGCTACACAGTAAGATCCCGTCTCAAAACAAAACCACAACAAGAAAAACCAAGATTGCTGGTGGCCTGGAATAGTAAAAGGGGAAGGCAGCTTTTAACAGTTGCCCCCTTTAGGAAGAGGTGCTGGATTAAGGTGTGAAAGTGTCAAGAACACTGAACACCATTCTAGAGCTCACACTGTTGCTCAGGAGTACATGGAGTACCTGTGCAGAGAGTCTGAAGTACAAGGAGTTTATGTTGCCAGCTGCATTAACCAGTATATCACTTACTTTATTTTTGTTTGCCTATTCTTTTCTATAATAGCTGTAATCATAAAAATGGAATAAATTCTAAGAGTAAGTTTTTATTATTTAACTTAACTTAAACTGTTCCTTCTTTATTTTAAGTAGTTTATTAATAAAGGGAAACGGGATGGAGAGATGACTCAGAGGTTAAGAGGGTTTCTTGCTCCTCCAGAGTACTCAGGCTTGAATCCTAGCACCCACATGGCAGCTCACAACTGTCTGTAACTCTAGTTTCATGGAATTAAACAATTAAACATTTTTTCTGGCATGCGCATGGTACCCAGACAAACATATATGTACACTTGCACCCATGCAGATAAAAATAAATAAAAAGCAAACAGAAAGGGAAAGAGACAGCCAATTTATGTTCTCTAGGCCTCTTGGATAGCAGAGGTATTCCTTTGTCCACATGCATGTGACTCTACAAGACATCAAGGGAATAAATACAGTTTAAAAAGAAATGCTCCAAGAATGTTACTATGGAAAAACTATAAGGGTCTACACTGTCACTCAGTATAGTGTTGACACAGTTATGAATAAGGAAGTTAAGGACAAGATTCTTGCTAAGACAATGCCTGTACTGAGAGTACTGAGTACTCTAAGAGCCAAGGTAAACTTTTTAAAATGGCAAATATCTACCCACATTTTGGACTTCTTCAATATGAATGAATATGCTAATATGCTTTGGAACATACAGATGAACAACAAAAACAATAAATGGGTTTTGAACCTAAGGAATCACTCACTGCTCATGCTTTTAAGCTTTTTCTCTACTTAACTTTTGACTAAAGTAGATTCTTAACTCCCACGCTACTGCCGCTTCTCAGTTGGCTTACAGATTCTAGTCCGCTCCCAGCTGCGAATTATAAGAACTTTTCCATGTTAGTGCAATATTATGTCAGCCCACTGGTGGCCTAGGTTTTGTCACTACGCCCTTTAACAGATGACACTGGTACTTACTGAGAGTGACACTTAGAATTTTTCAAAGCAAAACAGGACAGAAAATGCAGTGAATTCTGAGAGAATGACGAAAGTGGCAAAATATAATTCTCTGACTGGATAAAAATTAGTAAAGGTTAGAATAGTTTGGGAATAAATCCAATTCATGTATTCCTAAACCATTTGCCTCAGTTTACCTTCGGTACTGAATCCATCCACACAGAGTGACTTCTTGGCCTAAGTGGGAAGAACGCAATTCTCCACATGTGTTGGTTCGAGCAACAAAGCTACTAAATTCTTTAGAAAGAGAAAAAAAAAATGTATAAGGCAACAGTAAAAATATTTGTAGTCTGTTTAAAATATTATCCATTCATGGTATATTAGTTGTTTCAGGTCAATGGGTGAAGTTAGTAAAAAATTTTAAATTACATTTGTGTGTATGTGTACCATACAGATGGGAGCTCACATGTCATGGTGCACCTGTGGAGGTCAGAGTTGTTGGATTCTGTTCTTGCATCCACAATGTGGGCCCTGGAAATGAACTTGGGTTCTCGGGCTTGGCAGTAAGTGCCTCAACCCACTGAGAGCCTGATGAGATTTATAAATAGGCTAGATCATACAATTCCTCCATTGTGTTTATCCGCAAATGTGCTAAAGCCCAAGTGAATTTTGCATTGTTTAGAAATCTAAACTTTCTACATGACCTAGCACTTGCATGGACCTAAAATGGTAATTGTCCAATTTTAAATACTACGGTTCCTTGTCAAGTGAAATATGACCTTAGAAATTATCTAAGTTGAAAGTGCAGTTACTATTCAGATTTTTTATTTTGTAGTATTGATTTGAATGATCTGCTATAAATATGCAGTTAAGACTGGGAAAACAAGCTATCGAAACAGGCGGAAGGTCGTTGCTGCTTTCACCTGGAATTCTTTGCGCACCCAACGCCATACTTCTGGAGAGAGAACCCCAGATTGGCTGGGTGGTCCGTCTGATGGGTCTGGATAAACCCCTGCATAGTCGACTTAACCAAGAACCAAGATACATGTTGAAGTCGCAGGACCGCGAGTGACAATCACGAATCCTACGCTGCGGGTGTGACGCTCAAAACTCCGTTTCCGTAATACCCAGGCCCTTAAAATTCTAGTTTCCAATCAAATGCATCCAGACCCTCCTCCGCAGAACGTTCCAATATTTACAAAGCAGATCAATCCGCAAGATCTCTAGGGCCCTTGGATGAATGGATAGGGTAAAACCTTTGCTTCCTTCGGTGCATCAGTTCCCACTTAATTAAACAAGGCTGCGGCAGGAAGACCAAAAGATTCCAAACCGCAGCGCTAGCCGGACCCCAGCGCAGTCCAGGCGCGGGGAGGCCGGTCACCAGGAGCGCGTCCTTTCTTTATTTCCACGTTTTCGCGAAGGTGACCAGAGCATAAGAAGAAGGCAGTTCAACCTCGTGAAACACGAACTTCTGAAGGCGAGCGAATGGAAAAGGTTCCGAGGTTCGAACCCAAACACAAACCGCGTTCCGACGCCAGTTCCTCTAATGCTCCGCGAGCGCCAAACTCACGTAAAGTGTTCGGCCAATCAGAACGAAGGTACTTCCGTCACGTTTATTGTGGGCGGAAATTTGAGAGCAAGCTTCGCAGCGGTTGTAAGACGGAAGAGGAACGCGGCGCAATCGGGAATTTGATGGGACAAGCCCTGCCCTTAGTTAAAATGGCGACTTCAGTTGCTAATTTACGTGAAATCGGCGGGCCAGAGGCGAGGCTGTCTGCGTCGGTCGCAGAGCATGTCGGGAAATAATTTTAAACTGGCGGCTTGGAGTTCGCGGGGCTGCGCCTTCGTTCGCGAAGGGAGGTTTCAAGTCTACTTTCGATCACAGGGGAGCTTCTGAGAGGGGGCTTCCGGGACGCCTTGTCTTTCGTGGGCAGACGCTAACTCCCGAGGAGTGAAGGTCGCAGAGCTCGCCCGCTAGGGAAGCTGTACTGTCTCTCCCAAGGTGACGTCGCAGGTGTTGGCTGCGTCTGAGGGAGCCCAGGTTCCCTCGCTGGCCTTGATGTCCCTTCTGAAGTCACCAGGAATTGCTTCGGTTCCCTCTGAGCTGTCATTTTGGTCGCTTTCTTTCTTTTTTTTTTCCCCCCACGAAAACAAAATAAATCAAAATTTCCCTTTCGTCGTAGTCTTGGAGCCAGACTTGAAGAATGATTCGTGAATCCGGAATGGATGACAACGTCATCACGACATATTTTTGGTAAGATGTTTTGAGTGGGTCCTGGACTGGCTATGTACTGTCTTGAGCTCTGTTGTGTGGTCATTGTCTTTGCATTGCTTTTGTGTATTTAGATGGGAACCCAGAGGAGTTAACGTGCAGGTGAGCTTTGGTATTGGAACAGTCGATTGACAGTTGTGGCAGTATTACACTGATTAACTCAGGGGCCCTTTTTTCATGAACTAGCCACAAGAGGCGTTTTGGCGAGAGATGTTCTGTGGATACTAAAGAACTGCTGAGAGGGTTAAGACTTGGGAAATATTTAGGACCCTCCTTTTCTGTCAACTGGCAGCACAGTAGCTTTACATAATGGGTCATTTGATGAGTAAATGCACCACTAGTACCAGATATGTCCCAGCATAAGGGAGGCTGAGGCAAGAGAATTGCCGTGAGTTCTAGGCCAACCTGAGCTACACAGTCATTATAAACAAAACACCCCCAAACAAAATGAGAATAGTTGTTAAAGGCTTGATATTTGTTAAGTGATTGCAAACAAACTTGGAAAATACTGAATGCTTAGCAATTATTTTCCCAAATAGCACACTTCTCAGAAAAATTCTGTAACCTAAACCTAAGTGAAGTGCACACCAGGAGGCTCACCAGGAGTGTGGCCAAGGTCACATCATGGAAATACTTTATGTCTATGACAAAATGAAAAGTGCCTGTTTAAATGCTGCATCCCTATCTGTGGTGGTTTTTATTTTATTTCTTAAACATTGTACATGTGTGTTCACATGTGCTTTGGCGTGGGTATGGTGTCAGAGGAAACTTGCAGAAGTCAGTTCTCGCCTACTGTTTGGGTTTCAGGAATTGAACTCAGGTTATCTCACTTAGCTGCAAGTTCCTTTGCTAACTGAACCATCTCGCCAGCCCTGGAGTTTTGAGAATCCAGGTAAAGCTAAGGTGCCAAAGCAGATGGAGGAGGAACTGATGACATGAGATTACTGTTCCCCTAATATAGACAACTGGCTCTTCCAGGTGATTTACCCTCCTCTGTGGTATACCTCTCCTGTGGAGTAGGAAATGGCCATGCCCCCTGAGGTACTTGTGCAGGTCATCTTGCTTTCCAGACCATCCTTGTTATGAGAGCGACTCTAGTCTCAGTTCGTCCATCAACAGGTCCATTGACAGTTGCACCATCTTGACTCTATATCCTGTTTAGTTTTGTTACGTTTCTGGCTGAAGGAGGGTTGGTAAGAAAGGAAATCCCTCACACAGGCAGGTTTGGAAAGCAACAGTAGAGGTATTTCCTTTGCAAGTCAAGTTTTGGCTACAGGGTCTTGCTGGTTTGGAGTTATGACTGTAAAGATACCCTACAGTTTTTTTGACTAGAAAGTTCACCTCTTTCTGGCTGCTGAGAGTGTTAAGTGGCAAAGCCGGCAGGATTTAGCAGTGCTCCAGCTTGGGAACACGGTTTTCTTTCTCTTTGTTGATCTGGGGTCAGTCTAGTGCCTGGACATTTGGTTGCCCTTGCTTCCCCCCCCCCCCCCCCCCCCCCCCCCCCCCCCCCCCGATGACTGTGAGGTGGCTGCCTTTTCTCTTAGGACTAGCCTTTGCTCCCTTGGGTCTTCCAGCCTCCAAGGGCCCTGGAAGAGAGCCATCCCTCACCGTGCCAGTTGCATAAATGTTCTGTCTTTCTTTCTATGTGCTCATGCAAACTCACCTCGTGTCTTCCCTCTCCTTTTGAACTGGGCAGGCCGATTTAGAGGCAGCTCCAAGGTCATCATGAAGCCCCTGCTGTGCCCTCGTTCATGGCGGTCTTGCAGCTTTCCTTGGCCACACATAGATCACATTATTTGACTTATTCTAGAGCTTGTACTGTAAAGTTCTTGTTTTGGTATTTCTCGTCACAGCAAGAGAGCAGTGACTAAGGCAAGAACTAAGAGGATGTTGTGGAAAAGGTGGGAATGGGAAGGAAACAGAGTTGGACATTCCTGTAGAGCAATGTGCAGGAATTATTTTAGTGCTTAGAATTCTAGAATTACTTTTTTTTTCTTATTGCAGACTATGGATTCTTATAATTCACCTGGACCAACTTCTAGACGAAGGACCTCAAATCTGAAAGACTATTTTATAGGTGCCACCCCTCTGCAGAAACGGCTGGAATCGGTCAGGAGGCAGAGTTCATTTTTTCCCAGTCCACCTCGGAGAAAATTACCCCAGTGTTCACAGTTGCAGGTATGATTTGTTTGCCTTTGGGACAGTCAGTGATTGAAAATATATGAATAAGGATATATAAATTGTATATCGATTTCTAGCTGACAGGTAATGAGGAGCAGTTCAGGAAATAATTTCACATTTTAACCACAGTAGCTTTTGTTCCTCCTAATCTCCATTAATCCAGTTCATTTCCTCAATATTTTTCTTCTATTATTATATTATTATTATATTATTATATTATTCTACATTGGCATTTTTGAAGAATACAGACTCATACTTTCCCCTGTTTGACTGCAATGTTCCTCAGTTTTGTATTTCTTATGTTTCCCAATGTTTGAAGTTTATATTCTTGTCTAGCATTTTTGATAAGTTCATTGGATCTTTGATTTTTTGGTACCTTCAGTGTAGCCTTCTCCTCTTGCCCATGATATGTGTCTAGTGCCTTTTGGGTTAGGAGTCAAGTTTTGCTTCTTATGACGTTTTGAAGAGAAATTGCTAGTGCTGGTACTGAAAGTAATAGTTCTCGGCCAGAAAGCTTTTTGAGAGTTTAGGGTGGGGCTACTGGGGTTTTAATGCAGAGCCTTGTATATGTTAAGCTTAGTTCTACCCCTGAACTATATCAGCCTGAGAGACCTTATCCATCCTTCCTTCCTTCCTTCCTTCCTTCCTTCCTTCCTTCCTTCCTTCC